TCCCCCCAGCTGGCCACAATTTTTCTGTTAAGCCCCAGGATGGCCTAACCCATTCATTCATTCAATCATTTCAAATACTGTATCAGACACTGTGGTTGGCAACTGGACAAAAACCCCTTGCCCCCAAAAGTTCCTCCACTTCTACTTATGTCCCTCTTAACCCTTCAGTACAGTTTTCTTCCCATATAGAGGTCAAAATATCTTTTTGAAAAACATAAAACATAAATTAAATCATGTCACTTCCCTGTGAAGGACTTTTCAATAGCTCCCCATTGCATTTAGAATTAGTTGCATTTAGAAAGTTTTTACCAGCAGAAGCCAGTGAGGCCTCACCTGGCCCGGCCTGGCCTTGTGTCTACTGTGCACTTACCTCGTCTCTGTCTAGGCTCCCTGTTTCTTACCACTTTCTATCACACTAGCCTCCCCCTAGTTCCTGCACATATCAAGCTCTTGCCACAGCAGGACTTGTGCACTTTCTAGTACTACCACCGAAATGTTCCAGGTGCAATTCACTGTGGCCTTGAATCCTTCTTTTCATTTAGGTCTCTGCTTAAATTCTACCTCCTCCAAGGGACTGTTTCTGATCACCCATCTATGTTAGTTGACATTTCCCTTTATTCTCCACTGTGTCATGCATTTATTTTCTTTCCTAGGAGTTATCCCAATCTATGACATTTTACTTATTTGTTTGATTGCTTTCTGGTTCATTGACTACCTGTCCTACTCAAGTGTAAGCTGCTTTGCTTTCTCACCTATGAATAGGGTAACAAAGAAGGTCTACATAAAACCCTATCCCTGCCACTGACAATCTATTGAGGAGACAAATGTTTCAACGCACAACTCAAATACAGAGTGACAATTACAGTGCCTGAGGAAAACAGGACACTAGGAGAGAAGTGCTTGGATGCTCAGAGGAGACCTCACCATTAAGGTGAATTCTGACCTGGGCCATGAACACTGAAAGGTTTGTTGATGGAGCATGTGGGGTAGAGTTTTTCAGTGTGTCCAATAATGCAGGAATCACTTTGTGCAGCTGGAGTACCATACGTACAAGATAAAGGAGGCAGAGGTGGATTGGTAGGCATCTATGGGCAGATGACGGATGGTGGTGAAGAGAGTGTCAAACATCCCTAGCATCTTGAATTTAGGGAATAAGTATATTCCTCTAGCTGCTGACACAGTAAGTGAGTGATGTTTCTGCTGAAAGTCCCCCCTCCTTGGTGTGCTTCGAAGGGGAGAATCCATTTAACTGCAGTTAATTTCTTGCCCTCAATATCACCCTCAATTATATCCTTTATATCCAAGCCTATCTGTGCTTGACTTAGGTATCTTTGAGCAACTTGGAAAAAAAGGGCAAAAAAGACATGGTGTTATTATTTTATTCTTCACTGGTGCCATTCAAACATGTCTTTTGAAGAAGAATCAAACCAACTCACTGTTTGATTAATGGCTGTGTAAAGCGACAGGGTTGTGCATATGTCTTCAGAAAGGCAGGAGTCAGTCGGCTGCCCAGAGGTGGCCCGAGTGCCCAGCAAGTGTAAATGCTGGTGAACTGCAGTGTGAAGGAACTGGGAGTCGCTGGGGCAGAATTTGCTTTTTCATCGCAGAGGAGGACCAGAGGTGGTAAAATAAAATGGCTCTATACCAAAACAGTAAGCTGGAAGCTCCAAAAGGAGCTTCTGTGAGTTTATTTGGTATTGTTGCCTGTTAGCATTGATTGGTGGAATTCTGCTTTTTATTAACGCCATTTGGTCAAATTAGTTCATTTTTGGAATTGCAAGCAGAGAGTCTGGCTAGGGAGCGTGAGGAAGTGTAACACAATGGTCACAAGCGTAAATTTGAGGCAGACAGATCGTATTTGCTTTCTGGTCCTGTCCCACTTCTGTGTTATATACTTTTGGCCAAATGACATAACCTCTTTGAGCTCTGGTCTCTCCTCTGTAAAACTGGAGCAGTAATTCCTATCTTAGAGGACTATTATAAATGCTAGCGAGAATGCATATGTGATGCTCATAATTGTGTCTGGAATGTAGCATCCATCAATATAGATTAGTGGATGCTTTATTATCTGTTACTCCCACTATGACGAGAATAATTTCTGCACATATTTACTAGACTATAAATTGGGCAGCATAATTCTTATCTAATTTCTTTTAATCTCCCATAGCAGTACAATGACTAGCACATCAATAGCCCTTGGTAATATTTATGAAATGATTTTTAATTATTAATACATTATTTTAATTTATTAATACTTCCTCAGTCATTTTATTTATTATTAAATTATTTGTTCAATAATCATTTGGCTGAATTCTTTTTTCCTCCTGTATGCTTTTTTTAAATGGATTTTGGCCAATCTCTGGGAAAGAGGGCGGAGTCAGGGAAACAATATTGTGATGTGGGTGAGAATAGAGGCTTTAGAACCAGACAGAGCTGGTTTAGAGTCCCTGCTTAGTGGCTTTCTAGCCTGGGGTTCTTCATCTATATAATGGAGATAATAGTTACGGTAATAATAATTATAAGAATACAGAGCTCTTAGGTTTGTGGTGTTAAGTACTTAATCTATATCACTATATTAAGGCTCACAAATACTTTATAAACGGGAGGTGTCATGGTCACCTGTAAGACAAGACAAGCGCACCAGACTTCAATGGTGGTAATGACGGTAAAACCAGATGAGATCAGTGAAGCACTTGGCTCATAGAAGAGGACCAAAGGCAATGGGTTCCACCTCCTTCTCCCTTCCTCCATCTACTGGACACTGAGGTGCAGACATGCGCTGGGCCACACAACTGCCGAGGGGCTGAGCTGGGCTTCCAAGTTCATCAATTGATTCCCAAGCCCATGCCACTTCTACCAGGACCTTGAGTTTCCAGAAGATGTCTTTGCATTTGTATGAACCCCTCCTTTTCTTCTCAGCTCAAGGCCATCTTCACACAGCTGTTTGGGAGCCATGCAAAATGAGTCAGCCAGGCACACACCTGCTCCCAGGGCCACTTTCCAGGTGACAGAGACAAATGCCTCACTTGGCTAGGATATGAAGAGTTAGCTGGCTCATCAGACCCTATACTTATGCCCTGTGTTTGTGCTCTGTGAACGCACTCTGCCATTTCACCCGTGAAAGAGCTGGCGTTGTCTGCTCAGAAGCTTCCTTGTGGGCAGTGGCTTGCTGTGCAATTGGTTTGACGTCTTGTGGAAGCTGCCTTGCATCTTTTTAAATAGCTGATGGTAGAGCATTGCTGACTAGCCAGAGCTGAGTCACCTTTTGACGCAAGCTTCTTTGTGTATTGCAGCCGATTGCCAGAGAGGCTGTCTCTGTTTTCTGATGCAAGGAGCTGCAAGCTTCCATCTCTGCCACAATGTCACCCTGCTGGCTGGCTCTGTCCACAGAGTTCAACAAACCAGTTCAGCCAGGACAGAGAAAGAGGGAGGGAAGTGGGGGTGGGGAGAGGAAGAAAGAGAAGGAATGGGAGAAAAAGGGAGAGAGAGAGAGAGAGAGAGAGAGAGAGAGAGAGAGAGAGAGAGAGAGAGAGAGAGAGAGAGAGAGAGAGAGAGAGAAAGGTTTTAAACTCTGATGAAACCTGAGTCCTCCAGGTAATTGCCAAATAGCTGGCCTCACTAGGCAGGGTGAAGAAGTCCCATTTGGAATTCATCTCCTTGACTTCTTATCTTGTCATTGCTACTCACTTATAAACCGGGTTACTCTGCCTCAAGCAAGTATTTCTGCTCCCTACCCTAAGCCTTTGTTTCTGCATTTATAAGATGGTGGCTAATATTTCCTATCTCACAAGATAGCTGGGGAACTAAATTATCTAACAGAAACTGCCCTCTAGCCCTGACTGCCAGCCCAGACTGTGCTGGGCTCCTCTGTTGTATACTTCCATAGGCCACTCCACTCCTCCTTCCCAGAACCATTTATCCTAATTATGTGATTAATAGTGCCTCCTGTTTAATATCTGGCACCCTTTCTAGAACAGGAGACCTACATGTATTGGGGGCTATGTCAGTTTCATCCACCACTCTATTTTGGCTGTCTAGCCACAAATCTGGTAGCAAGTTAGGTGAACAATTAAAATGTGTCAAATGGTCAAACTATAAACTATTTGAATAATTTGCATTCAGCTTTGCCCTTCTCCAAAATACACAGCTTGGAGGTGATAAAGTAATCTTTGAAGAGCAAGTCCAACCTTTCATTACTTTCCGTAAAGCCCCTCTCTTCTCTTTAGAGACAAGCAATAATGCAGGTCTCCATTCTCATTCCCTGTCTGTCCTCTTTGACAGCCACCTCTCCTCAGTGGATTTAGGTAGCTTCAGGACACTGGACCACTTAGAGCATCTTTGTCCCTTTACATGAGATTTATTCCCCTGCCTGAAATGTCCTCTTCACTCTGGTTCTTCGTGGAGAAATTCTACACGGTTACCTCCTCCACGAAACCTTCCCCAACCAGTCAGCAACCCCCTCTCCAAATACAACTGACCACTTCCTTCCTTGTGTCCCCAGGTCTATTTTACCCTCTGTTTCCTAATGGTCAGTTATTAAATATATATTTTTTCTTCCTGCAAAGAGATGGTAAATTCTGGAGGGGTTGAGGGCAAAGAGATGGTAAATTCTGGAGGCATTGAGGTTGGTAAGGATGGTAGGCAGGTAGGTAGGATAGGAGGGAGGGGGTGGGGCACAGGAGCCCTAATGGGTACTGAATTGCAATGGGTGAATGAACACACCGAGTGAGGGGACTGACCAGGCTGCAAGGACAAGTCTGTTCCAGAAATGGAGGTGTCTTTAATCCAGGATGAATGCAGGGCATGCTACATCTGTCAGGGCACCTGCAGCAGCAGCAGCAGCAACTGAGGCTGAGTCCTAAAATAGACCGCACACCAGGTGAGAGCGTGTGTGCCAGCACGCCGCGCGCCGAGGCCTGGCACCCAGCCCGGAGTCAGGCGCAGCTCCAAATTAGGCTTGAATTCCCTCTGTAAGCAAACAGCAGGGCAGGGAACAGAAGCGTTGGCTAATTTTGAGTGGATCAATGCTTTCTGTGCTGGAGATGGCCTAAAGCAGCTCGAGAATGAAGCCAGGTCCCCTTGCTGAGTCAGCTGGGGGCTCCGCAGCAGTGCTGGCCGTATGTGACTATGTTTTGCCTCTGACTTTGGAGAACTGCTTGTTTAGTCCATGATATCTATCTGGATGCTGGACAGTTTGAAATAGAAAACAGAAAGTAAGAGCAAGATGGAAAGAGCCCAGGCTTTGCAGTCAGAGGGATCTGGGTTTTTCCTTCCACGTAACTGTGGAAAAGTCACTTAACTCTCTAAATCTCAGTTTACCCTTCTATAAAATGGAAATAATTATAGTACCTGCCTTATACCCTCTGAGGGTTGTGTGTGATACTATAATGTACCCCTGTGGTTAGTGTTTAACATAGAGCAAGGGTGATTTTTTTATCTGGGGGACATTTGGCAATGACTAAGATGATCTTTGATTGTTACGACTAGGGGATGTGTTCTGGCATCTGGCAAGTGGAGGCCACGGATGCTGCTACACATCTTATGGTGCACTGGACAGCTCCTCACAACAGAGAATTATCCAGCCCAAAATGCCAACAGTGCTGAGTTTCAGAAAATCTGCCTTGGAGTAAGCTTAGCCATCTGGAGGCGCAAAAATGGTAGCTATTAAAATATAATTATTATCTCTTTCCACTTACATGTACTGAGTATATATTTAGAAACTCTGGAAGAAGCTGTGGTGCATTAAGGATGGCTATAATTTCTTTGGCACTCCTCCCATTGAGAGGTGGGGTCTCTGTCGTCTCTCCTTGAACCTAGGCAGGCTCAGTAATAGCTTTGAACAATTAAAATAGGCTGTAAGTGATGTTACTCCAGTTTATGAAACTATCAGCTTTTATTTTCTGCCTCTTAGAAACTCTCTTTCGGAATTTCAAGCTTCCATGTTTGAAGGCTGATTTCCAGAGATACCATACTGGAGAATTCAATTGTAGATGATCTAATTGACAATCCCAGCTGAGTTCAGCCTTCCAGCCACCCCTGCCAAGGTGCCAGCCATGTGAACAAAATCTCTTGGACTCTCCAGAGCAGCCCATCCACCACCTGAATACCACCGGTGTAGTGTTGTAGTCAACATCCCATTGAGAAGTAGAATTGCCTATTTGAGGCCTGCCTACATTCTTGCTCTACAAAATTGGGAGATATAATAAAATGGTTATTGTTTTAAGCTACAATATGTTGGGGGTACTTTGTTTTGCACCACTATATGACCAAACAGAAGTATCAGGTATTCTCGGGTAATTTATGTCTTAATTCCTTATCAATGTCTTGATAAGGAATGATCCTGTAACTACAAAAGAGAAAAATGTAAAACCAAATATTTGTATTGACAAATCATTAAGATACATTCATTATATGGAAGTCAATACAGTAGCCCTGAAGATTACTGGATTTAAATCTCAGAGATAGAAGGTTTTACTGCTTAAATAACTACATAGAGTTATTCTGAAAATTCAATAGGAAAATATATATGAAAGTGCCTAATTCATGTATTGGCACAAAATTGGCACTTATTAAATGTTTTTTGAATTTTAATACATTTAGAGGTTGAGAGGGAAAGGATTATTATCAAGAACTTGTGTTAGGGGGAATGATTCATGGGAGATATAAACCTTGAGGTAAGTCATAAATTACTATAATTTTGAACTGTTTCTTGCATTAAAATAGGCAACATTTGAAATTTCCCTTGTTTAGAAATGAAAATAAGTTATAATTCTGTCTGGGAGTGGCCTAAAAATGCACTTGTGTATGGGCTAGGGGCATTCTGAGAAATAATTCTATCTGTGCACATGTTGGGCTTTAGTCAGACAGAGAAACAGTGGGTAACTAGGTATGGCAGTAGAAGCCAGAATTCAGTGATAACTTGGTCACCACAGATCACCAGGGAAGATCCTGTGACCCTTAAGGAGAAAAGTTAACAGAATGGATTTAGTAGCTCAACCCAAGCATTAGAAGGGAGCGAGAGTCTTGGTGCTGGCTTTAGTGCAGTGACTATAACGTGCAAACACCCAAGGTGGGAAGGTACTTGCAGATCACTTTCAGAGTCCTGCTTTGGGATTCCCTTTGAAAAGAGGAACATGGGAGTGAGAAGCATTTCCTTACAAGAGAAGAAAGCAAGCGAGTGGCACTGTCTGAGCAGCTTAGTAGCCATGGAATGAGCCACCGCCAGAAGGTGGGACTGCAAGGAGTTCGGGAGCATTGACCTCCCCAGACGCATTCGAGAGAGCCCAAGGAGGCATAAAAAAAGTTGATCTTGGGGACTTGCATGAGCCCAAGGACTAGGGATGTCGCGCCCGCCTCGCCAGCAAGGAAGACACGGCAATTGGAGTTCTTCTGACAGCGCTTTAATGGGGATTGCTTAACTGGTTAGATGCGGAAGACGCCGAGGCGTTCTCGGCGGCTGCTTATAAAGGCAGTAAGTACACTGGGCATTGTCTGATTGGATAAGGCACTTGGAAGGGAGGAGACAAACTCTGCACATGCGCTGAGCACTTGTTTGTCAGACTAACAGCAGGGTTTGACCAGGAAGTGGGCGCCATCTTGGAATGGCGTTGCCACCGCGCCCCATGTAGGGAGAGGGACCCTTGAAGGCAGCAATAATGTTATCCACTTGTAAAAGTAGAGGCAACTGAGCTAATAAAATTTAGATCTAAATCTGAGTCCACAGACTGTTGAAGCCTGAAGACATTTGGTTTACAGAGAAATAAGAAAATCACCTTGAACTGTGACTGAATGACTTTTGTTTACCTGGTCACAATCAGTCAAAAGGAGTGGTTTGAAAAGAACTGTTTTCAGATAACTCCTGCTCTTTCTGACTCTAGGTGCACAATTTGTGTCTCTTGTTTCCCTGAAGGTAAGACGTGGTCTGTGCACCTGGGAAGATGATGAGGACAGTTAAGGAGCAGCTCCTGAAACTCTGCTGTGAACTAAATGTTTGTGTCCTCCCAAATTCATATGTTAAGACCCTAATCCCACGTGGTGTGGAGGTGGGGCTTTTGGGAGGTGATTATTTCACAAGGGTAGAGCCCCCATGAATGAGAATATTGCTCTTACAAGAAGAGGCCAGAGGTGTAGCTAGCCCTCCTTGTGCTGCTGGAGGGTACAAAGAGTTGACAGTCTGCAACTTGGAGGAGGGCCTACAAAGAGTTGACAGTCTGCAACTTGGAGGAGGGCCTTCACCAGAACCCGACCATGCTGGCACCCAATCTCAGACTTCCAGACTCCAGAACTGTGGGAAATAAATTTCTGTTATTTATAAATCTCCAGTCTGTGGTACTTTGTTATAGCTGCCAGAACTGGCTAAGACATTGCCACGGAGCAAGACGTGGTCATTGCAGGGAGAAAATAGAACACAGACTGATCGAACTATGGCTAGCAGAAAGGTGAGCTTTGCCTCTGGTTGTTTACACCTCCCAGCACACGCTTTTCTCCTCAGGAGTGAACTAGGCCAGGCTGAACCTAATTCCATGACTTCCCAGCTCTGTCTGTACCCCCTGCCCTGGCGAGTATGCGGCTCTCCTCTTCATTTTACCACAGAGGAAGTTTGTCCTGGATGTTCTCACCATTTGTATTCTCCTAGTTGAATAAGGACCAGTGTGCTTTGGGGATAAAACCGAGGGTTTTAAACAAACAAACAAACTTATAAATATCAAATCTTAGAGCTATGAGTTAACAACTTTATGATCTTGAGGAAGTCAGTAAAACCTTCTGAACCTTGCTTTATTCGTTGGTGAAATGAGGATAATAAACCTTTTCCACAGGTATATTGAAGAGATGGATGTTGAAATGCTCTGCAATATTATTTGGATATTCTGCGGATGGATGCTTCACCATCTACTCCCCAGTCCAACCTGGGAACGTTACCACAGATGTCGGAATTACCAATTACACTTGAATTTATGCCCTCTTAAGCAGTTATGCTGGGTAATCCTGAGGCTGAGAAACTCCAAGACATTGAGGAACATAAAGAAAGGAGATGAATATGAGCCTTGGCGGTTTGGATCTGTGTGGTCTTTCTCAGTACGTACCAGTGGGGCCAAAGGAAGAGAGAAAACAAGAGTATAGGAAGCTGTTTACTAACTGCTTTTCAGGGTGTTGGCAATCATTGTCTGACTCGAGCCTTAACATGATTCAGTGATACAGGAACAACACAGATTGCTATTGTTAGCTCCAGTTTGCAGGTGAAGGCACTAAGCCTCAGGCAGATGCTGTGTTTTTTGTTTTGTTTTGTTTTGTTTTGAGACAGAGTCTTACTCTGTTGTCTGGGCTAGAATGCTGTAGCATCAGCCTAGCTCACAGCAACCTGAAACTTCTGGGCTTAAGTGATCCTCCTGCCTCAGCCTACCAAGTAGCTGGGACTACAGGAACAGCTATTTTTTTGTGTGTGTTTTTAATTGTCCAGCTAATATTTTTTATATTTTTAGTAGAGATGACAGAGGTCTTGTTCTTGCCCAGGCTGGTCTCAAACTCCTGAGGTCAAGTGATCCCCTCTCCCTGGCCCCCCAGAGTGCTAGGATTACAGGTGTGAGCAAGCCACTACACTCGGCCAGATTCTGTGTTTAATACCTGCTGAATATACCAGCTTCTGGGCATGAGAACACTTGGCAGAATGTGGTCCACTTCTCTTTCATCTCCTGAATTTTACAGTACCATGTTGGCACAAGTATAGATAGGGTTGGAGGAAGGGGCTAACATCTTCCAAAATGACAAATATGTTTCACGGAAATGAAAATGTTTCCATTGAATCCTTATAACAACCCTTCAAATAACCATTAACATCTCCACTTTATTGACAATAAACATGGACTCAACGAGCTTAAATAATTGCACCAAGGTTATGCAACAAGTAAGTGGCCAAGTTTGGCTTGAACCCAGGTTTTCTATGAAAATTCTCTGCCCCTTCCTCCTATGTGTGTATCTCCTCTATATCCAGTATTTCATGCCACCAGAGTGCTATTGCATATCTAAAGTGACCTTCCAAAAGAATTCTCTCCAATAAAATGACAAGGCTTCTCAGCAGAAAGAGATTTCATGTAATGGCAAATCTCAACAGCTGCTGGCATTTCTCTTTGCTCCGTTAACCTCATTCTTGAGGCGGGAAAAAGAAAGGTTACTATCAGTGATTTTACCACAGGAGTGGAACTGACACCTTAGCCAGCTGTGACCAAATGATCCATTATTCATGTGGCAAATAAGCTCCATCATTTCTCATTGCCTCACCTGCCTGTGAATGCCTCTTGTTTCCTTCCACCCTTTTGAATGTTTTCAGATTGTTACTGCACAGAGCAAGCCCATCAGTCTAGTTATGCCTAACAAGCATCCCTTGTTAAATTCCAGTTAAATTCAGAGGCAAGAAAATCTTGTCTATTTCAATGCCAGATAAAAGATCTTTTGGTTATAGTTGTTGTTCACCAAAGACATTACTCACTGTGATCCAAAACTGGAGTATTCTGTAGCACAATTTTAAGCAACATGGAGGCAAATAACAGTTAAAGAAGAAACCCTAGCAAGGGAGCAAGTAGTCAGTTTTAAATTCCAATTGTTGTGGCTGAGATAACTTTTGATTGTGGCACACATGTGAGGACCACAGAGGGAAGATCTTCTCAGAAAAGGAGTATATTCTTTTGTTTTGTTTTTATTTTTTTTAATTTCAAAATATTAAGGGGATACAAATGTTTTTGATACATGGCTTGAGTCAGGGCTGTAAATGTATCCATGAACTGAATAGTGTTCATTGTACCTGTTAGGTGACTTTTTGCCCTTCCCCACTCCCCCCCTCCTCCGTCCCACTCGATTTCTAATGACTTTTACTTTCCTGTGGGTATTTAAATGCCCATCAGTTAGTTCCAATTAATTAGAGAGTATATATGTTGTTTGTTTTTCCATTCTTGAAATACTTACTTTAGGATAATGGTCTCCAGATCCTTCCAAATTGCTGCAAAAGACATTAGTTCATCCTTTTTTATGGCTGAGTGGTACTCCATGGTATGCATATACCACATTTTGTTAATTCATTCATGAATTGATGGGCACTTGGTTGATAATACATCTTTTCAATTGTGAATTGTGCTGTAATAAACATTTGAGTGCAGGTGTCTTTTTGATAAAATTACTCCTTTTCCTTTGGATAGA